AATCCAGCAGGACTCTTCAGGACTCCCACCCACGTCAGGGCCTTGTCATGCAATGTGGGTCACGTGGCTCTCGCCGCTGCACCCTGGTCTCACGTACTCCCTGAGGTGTTGAGCAACGGAGTGCGTGTAAGACAGGCCGGCGCGCAAACCCCTGCGCCCGAGAGCCGCCTCCACACACACGTGTGCCACACTGCCATGGCCGCGTCCCTGCGCAGAGCCAGGAGGGCGAGGACCACCCTCCAGCCTCTCCGCCGCTGCCTGCCGCCGCCCGCTGCTCTGAGGGAGAATCCACAGTGAATCGCAAGCACCTATTGCTCTTCCTCTTCTACCTCGCCGGCAGCTTCCCCTTCCCCAAGTGGTGAGGGGCCCTCAGCATGAGCACAAGCTCTTAAGGCCAAAGTGGGCCCAGAGGGGATGTACCAGTGCCCAGAACACGCCAAAGCCAAAGTCCTCAGGGGCTGGGGGGTGGGAGGAGGCAGGGCTGACCTGACCCCAGAGGACACCCCCAGTCTGTGGGAAGCCCCCCCACCCCATGGTGGGCTCTCCCCAGACGGGGCGGGGGAAGGGGTGAGCAGGGACTCTCCCGTGATGGCCGAGGAGACTGTGGCCAGGGGAGGACACGGACCCGGCACTGACTCCATCTGGGTGTCCCCACCACACGCTGTGATGACATCGGCCCAGACGCCTGAGTCTCGGGCCTGATCTGCCTGGACACCGGGGGCCGGAGCAAGCAGCAGGTCAGGAGGCCCCAGGACGACCCTGACCCCTCGGGGTCCAGGTGCTCTTTAGTCTGTTCCTGCTGGGCCCCACCTTGCAGTCACAGCTGTGGGGGCCCGAGGCGCTGCCTGGACAACCTTCTCCCACCTGAGGCCACAGCAGCCGCAACGGCCTCCAGGCCCCTCGGGCTCAGGCCCGCTCAGCACAGAGGCCAACAACCCCCCTTTCCCTCACCCGGGACACCCCCATCTTTAACGCCCAATGGGCCCCCGTCCTGAGCCCACACCAGGGAGTCAGCCCCTCTGGGGTGGCCCTGCAGGGTCTGCTCCCCACTGTGGATATTGGAGTGCAGGGACAGGCAAGGATGGGGACCAGGAGCAGTGGGTCCTCCACCGGGTTCCCTTCGGAAAGCAGAAGTGGGCCTCTCTGGTCCGCAGCCGGTGTGTGCCAGGTTCCTCTTTGGTTTCTGATCTCCCCAGCTTCCGTCGGGGCTTCCTCCCCTCCGACTCCAGCCCCGACTCCCCGCCATGCTGCCGCCGCCGCTGCTGCTGCCCCTGCTCTGGGCAGGTGAGTGGGTGCCGGGGGGTTGTGGGTCGGGGCGCCGGGCCGGGGCTGCGCTGACCCCGTCTCCCCGCAGGGTCCCTGGCCCAGGTCGGTGGCCTGTGGCTGCACGCACCGGAGCGGGTGACGGTGCAGGAGGGCCAGTGCACCCGCGTGTCCTGCAGCTTCTCCTACCCCGGCCGCGGTCACCCTCAGGGTCAGTCAGTGTACAGCTACTGGTTTCGGTATCGGGAAAGGTCTCAGGATGAAGAGGCTGTTCTGGTGGCCACAAACTACCCAGGTCACGAGGTGCAGGAGGAGACCAAGAGCCGATTCCAGCTGCTGGGGGACCCCCGGCACTATGACTGCTCCCTGGATATCAGAGACGCGCAGAGGGGGGACACAGGGACCTACTTCTTCAGGGTGCAGAGGGGGGACTGGGTGCCACAGTATTACACAAGTCGCCAGCTCACTGTTACTGTGACAGGTAAGGGACGGGGTGGGGGCCCCACGGGGGGTGGTCCAGAGTGCCCAGGCAATGCTGGGGGGGTCCATGTTTTCACCTTATGAGGGACCCTCAGATCCCTCATAAGGTGAGGGGAAAGGACTTTGGTCTGGGTGGGGGAGCGGGGCCGCCTGACCCAGGCTACACCAGGGACACCCAGGTCCCCCACCCCCGTCTCCCCCAGCGCTGACCCACAGGCCGAACATCCACCTCCCGGGCCCCCTCCGGGCCGGCCAGCCCAGCACCCTCACCTGTGCAGCGCCCTGGGCCTGTGACAGGGGCACGGCCCCCACCTTCTCCTGGAGGGGGGTCGGCCTCAGCACCCCGGGCCCCCGCTCCCCGGAGCTCACCCTCACCCCGGGGCCCCAGCACCACGGCACCAACCTCACCTGCCGGGTGACCTTCCCCGCGGCGGGCGTGAGCACAGAGACCACCGTCCGGCTCAGCGTGGACTGTGAGTCGGGG